GTTCTTCAAAATACAGTTGTCTCCTTCTCCACCAACATGCACAGTTCTATCTCTTGTGGGGATGTGGACATGCTTGGAATCACTTATCCCTTCAGGTTGGGCCAACATGATGGCCCTTAATGGTCCTTAAGGGACCACTGGAACATTTGCACAGATGCACTGGATTGTTCAGTGAGACTGTTGGATTCCAGCGTGCTGGATCTCATCTGGTGATTGAACAGGGACAACCAAACTGTAGGTGTCCCTCTACCACCTCCATGGTCAGAGATCTGTTCACTGATGTATCTCTTCAGAACTGGGGTGCTTGTATAGACAAAATGGAATTTGTATCATATTTCTATCATACAATTATATCATATTGTGTTCCCCATGCCCTAGCCACTACAACTTGGATCTAGTTTTGAGTCCACAGCCCTGTAATTCCAATGACGAGACATGGAACCTAGTTTGTGTGGTTGGGGCCTGAACAAATCTCATGATAATCAACAATGTTGACTCTGTAGGCAGTTGGCCTTTACCATCCATGTTTAGATTTCACTTTATTTGGGTGAAGAGCATATCTATGTAGTGTGGACTCACACCTGTTTTTACTCGCAGACACTTTCTGTGTGGATCTTGCCCTCACCAGCCTCTCTACGTGGTCAATGTTCAAGCTAAAGTGTGAGTGGAGGTGTGTTTCGGAAGTTTACATTTGCCTATACCGAAAATGTATTTCTGATAATACTTACCTAATTTCACACTATCCCGCCCTTCCTTCCCATGATAGCTGGTATTTGGGTTTAATAATTATGGCAGTCTAGAAAAAAGTGAATAAAAAAGAATAATGAGGAGCTTATATTTTGATCAGGTATAGAGGGTGCATTGATGTAGGTGGAGAGAGTCACAAGATGAAAATCACTAGGGGGTGATATAGTGGGGTATAAAGACTGGAGCAAGTGAGGTAGAATTCATACCATAGTTTAGACGGGCAAAGAAGAGAACCTTTCATCAAGATAGAGCTAAAGTGTTAGAAGAGGTAAGTATTATCAGAAATACATTTTTAGTATGTGGAAATGTAAACTTTCTAACACCTGTGGTTTCCTTAGTCAGTAATCTATAGTGGACCATCTGAATTGACTTGAAACATCAATCAGAGGAACCTTTCTCAAAAGGAGGCATCTAGTTCTGATCTTTCTTTAATCTTGAGAAGGTATAGGGAGGTTTGGTATTTTATACCATTCTTTTGAGTTGTGAGGTCATTTATTCATAATTATATGTTCTTTTTTTTTTTTTTTAGAAAAGTCATTCTGGATCTGTGTGTGTGATCAAAACTATTCTAATTCTTCACATGAGAACTTGGAGTACCTCAGAGCTGTGTCTTGAGTTCACTTTTTGACATTAAGATCAATACCATAGCTGGGCAACTTTTTTATACAGTTGACTTTCATCAAATATGAGGTACACTCAGTGACATCCCCAAACTACCATCAATAAATTATTTATGTGGCTCTAAACCTTTGTCATCAAAAACCATTTGCATGCATTTCTGATGATAAGAAGTATTTCTTCCTAATCTGTAACTACATCTGGGAGGTGCTCGATTTTCCTCTGGTAACTGAGACAAAGCTCTTAAGATTTCTATTTCAAAATAAACTGACCTATATTCATAAAATCAATTGGTTTAAGGTCAAGTGTACAAGAATAGTGAACATCCTTCACATCTCTTCCATCTCTTGAGGGAGCAATTACATTTAGGTATATAATACTCAGGATCTATCATACCATCATTCAATATAAGCTGTAGTATGGGTCTCTGGTCTATATCTGGACCAGGGATTCTGCATTAAAGGTTTATGGGCTTTGTGCATCATCATGGGATTTTGCTTTAAAAATAGGTGCTTTCTGCATTTCTCCAAAACTAGCCTCACCCCCCCCCCCAAACCTTTGTATTCAAGTAAAGTTGACTGTGATGGGTCTATTATTGGATGGTAGTGTTTGATCAGTCCATTCTTCCATGACTAGTTACCATACCCCACTGTCAGCTTTCATATACTCACCTGAAGAAGTGGGATACTTCCAACTTTTAACCACCAGTTTCTCTTGAACATCTTTTCAGCCATCCTACTTCCATACTTATGGATATCTCAAAATGAGGTGAGTCTGTGGGCCCTGCCATTGTTCACTGTATCTGTGTAGTTATTCATAGTATCCCTTCTATATGTGTTCTGTGTTTAATAGTTATGGTGGATTTAAGTCCTTTTAAATCATTTAATAACCTAAGTTAATTTAAATTTATGAATGATATTGTGGCATTCCATATTTATTGCTGAGTTATTTGCGATCTCACTTGTTCTTAATCATATAGAAGCTAAGCAGCGCACTACACAAGCTATACCAACCAGCTTACCATCTACCTTGATCCAGTTTTTCAAGATTTTTGGCTATGTCAGAATCCAAGGAAACAAGCTCACTGACATTGTGACCAAATCAATCACCATAGATGATGTCGTTGCTTTGTCTGTTCATTATATGGATTATCAGCACAAAGCATTATGCCAGTTGGTAGGTGATTTTGGATGAGTAACATGTGAACAAGATTTTTATGTAGTACAATTGCTGATTAATTAACTGTCAAGTTTTTGCAAGAATCAGATGGAGAAAGATGTTCTCACAAGGTTACATATCGATCATAGTTTTCTTATATACTGTTTTTTCTTACAAGAATAATTTGCCAATGTATGGGCATTGTGTCACTGAAGTCATAATAGCCCACGTCTTACTATCATGCTGTTGCTATGAAATTTAATTGTTTTGGACATATTTTAACACCTGGTGTCCCACTGACATTCGACAGTGTCATTATTAATGATGACACAGTCCACACTGACTATGTTTCTAGTTTATTATGGGCCACAGTTCTTTTTAATTCTAGTTAATTTTGTAAATGTATACCAAAAAAATTTTGTTTTATGTTTTTACCTTACAGGGTTTAAACTTGTATTGTTTGTCAAATTATCAGCTATAATGACAGAAGAAAAAAAGGCAGTTGTTTTAAGATCAACAAAATTATCATTTATTTACAATGTAGTCTGTAGATTGTGCTGAACTAACTTGGAAATTTATTGACATATTGTATCCCTCTTAAAATGTTTATTTCTGTGTAAATGAAAATCTGAACCGTGGAGTTCTTGTCTATTTTTTGAGTTATCATTTTCATTGTTCTTTAGTACTGTTGGTAGTAATCCTCATAGACTGGAAAATGATATTTTTGTCCAGGATGTAGTGCCAAAATCTTTTTTATTCTCTTCATAATGCAGAAATACTTCTCACAGCATGCAGTAGACAATGGTAAACACCCCATAATTATTTTACTTATGATGGTGCTTTTGCTGGCAAGTGTAAGGCTTCTGTTTGTTTAAGGAGTTTTATACAGAATACAAATTTTCTTTCTCCCCTTTTATTAATACAACAGTTGTTTCTTGTATCTATTAGTTTCTCTCCTCAAAAGTTACTCAAATACTTTTTTTTTCATCATAAGTTCATTGTTGAACATAGTACTTGTGTTTTAACTGTTCTCACCCAAAACAAGGTGAAAAAAGTATACCTTGAATTTAAGGTAATGCAACCTTTGTTCTAATCAATATATTTGTTAGGGTAATATCACTTATTCATAGAGCATTCTTAATTAATAGTTACTATTATAATATGTTAAATAAACAATTATCAGAAGCTGTTATTTTAGATATTTTCTACTCAGGATTGTAGCTACGGTAGACAGCGGTGGATGGAGCCACCCAGGACTTGTTCTGCCCACCCAACACTCCCATGCAATGTGACTACTGCTATTACTGGTATTAACTATCATTGAGATAAAGTTCATTATAAGCATGAAACATTTCTTTCTCTGTGTTGCAGTGAAGTTTACTTCACAATTAGATTGTTAGAAACAAACACTTTTCCTGTAAAGTCACGAAGCAGATAACCTTCATGATAAAATACTTTTTAAGAAAAGTCCATAGGAAAAAACCTGCATGTGAAGTTGAACAAATGGCTCATGCCATGCTAATTCACTTGTATTTAGTGTGGCACATCAGACAATATCATCTACGGTGGATACCATACAAAACCTATTTTCTTTCCAGTAAAAGTTTATGTGATGTGTAAAAATATTTTCAAATTTCACGGATATCTAAAATATAAAAGTAATCAATGTTTTTTGCATAAAAACTTTTTTAATCCCATTGTGACTAATTTGTATCAACTACCTGCTATTAAAGATAAACCAGTCAGAAAAATAAAACTCAGCTTGACTGATGGGGATGGTACAATGGTGGCAGCTTACCACCTACCACTCAAATCATCCTAGATACAGTCCTGTTTCTATTACTAATATATAGTGTTAAAATGAGAGAATAAGTCAAAAGTGTGTTTTGTTTCCACCACTTATTTTCCTGGTGCTCAGAATTTTACAATATTAGCAATTCGTGCTTCTTTAAAATCTGTATTGAAACCCTCCTTTGTTATTTTTCAAACTTATATTACTTAGAAATGCAAGGAATGCTCTCATCACTTCTCAGTTATATATTTTAGCCTCACTCAGTTCTGACAAAGGTTCACACCCTTGGTAATTTGAAGACTGCCATGTTTAGCTACAATTTAAAAGTTCTATCCTTATCTGAAAATGTCAAATTTTGATTTTAAAACTGTGAACTTGACACATATAACTGATAAAAAGACAAGACATACATGTAAATGATAGAAGAAAAAACAGACCAAGAAGATTGATTTTGCATAATTTCTCTTCAGAAGGTGACTAGCTTTAGTTTCAGTTTTCATATTGCTTCATATCACTTTTAGAATTTTAAGTAATCCTTGACCCAGGTAATAAGGTATTCCATATCACTCTGTTACTACTTGATTCAGTTTTATGTTCATGTTATATTGTACTATATGTAGTAAAAATTAAATCTTAGATTAATTTTAAGGCAAAATAAACATAAAGTCACTTCTGTGTCTTCTAGAAGATGAGGATAAGAATGTGTCCCAGTTGGAAAAAGAATGCAACTCTCGCAGGTATCCTCACAAACTTTTGGCCACTTTGAAGGAATTATCTAGTAATGATGTCAAAATCCCTCATGAAATCTTGAAGGAGTGGGAATTTTACAAAACAGAAATAGATGAAGAAATGTTATCAGAATGCTCTTGTGGGAAGAAAAGTAAGAACATTGAATACAGTCAGTTGTTGGATTTACATGTTTATCTGTTTGAATTAATATTCAACATTTAGCATTGCCAGACATATATGTATCATAAAAAATTTTGATAAACTAATGTGTTTTGGCATCTTCTGAATTATGGGGTCAGCTGTTTATCATTGAAAACAGACTGAACTGATTTTAACAGACAAGCGGTACTCCTACTTTTGATATTGTAAGTCCATGTAATTTAACTTCACCTAAGACTTACATGTAATTGAAAATTTACTGTTTATCAAACTGCCTAGATGTATAATTAATGATAATTTATGCCTGTTATTATGATTAAACCTTTTTATGAGAAGTATTAAATAATCTATGATTTGTAAGTTGAATAAATGCACAGTAAAATCGTTCATATGTATAAACTTTATATTAGTAAAAAGATCTGCATTATTGTTTTGATAGTGTAATGTGTTGAAAATCTGTGGTGGTACTATTATGATCATTGCTGTAAAATTCATTTGAAACATCTTCAAAGAGCGACAAGTTCAACAAATTTTATTTGGTTCATATATTTTGCATCTTCAATTATCATATCAAGATTTCCTAAAGGAAACAGTGTGTTTTCTTAGTTTAAAAGTATAAGCATATTTATCGTGGTCAGTATTTGTTGTAAAGATGAAAATCATGGCCTTAACTCGGTTATTTAGAGGTAAATAATGTATATGTTTCAACAGTAATGTAAACTCATTATTGTTATAGATTTTTGTGTTAGAAGCCTTAATGTATGTGATGCATTTTTGCTGCTCAATTGCTATATTTTGTCATTTAAAGAAAGTTACCTATGTAGATCATAATTAAATATTAGCCCAGTAAATAATGTTGTTAATTTAACATATCAGACTAACTAGAAGTATGCAGTGCTGTAAGACAAAACTTGTACTTATTATTGTGCATTGATTCATCAATTAGGTACCTTCATTGAAAAATAATAAATACATATATTAAACATAGTGTTACTAACAATACAGAAAAAATGAATACACCTTACAAGACAAATAAAAACTAGTTGTTTCCTTCATGCATTATTGTTGAATCCTTGTTCATTAAAAAGTATAAGCAAAACTTGATTATAATGTTTCCTAACAATAACTGGTGACTAGTGAGAGCCCAGTAAATGGATGTGACATTATAATTTTAGATTAGCTTAACATTTGAGATAAATTCTTACTACATGATAGCATGATGATGCAGATAGCACAGGAAAAAGCTGATATATGGGGGGTACACAAAAAATAAACAATATGAATAGTAAAGTGATATAATAATAATTAACAGTATTAACATTAATGAAAAATAACCAAGGAAAATGCAATAAAAACAATAATAAATTATTTAACATGTGAATTGTGTCTATACACAACTGATTCAAATTTAACTATCCATTTATCACATGGTCAGCCTGAAGTAATAAAGTTAAAAATTAAGAACCAACCATAATATGTAAGCAGTAATAAGTTACAAGAAAGATCACAATGATAATAAGACTTAAACTGTGAAAAAACAACAATAGTAAATATAGCAAGTAAAGTAATTAATTAAAACTAAGTTAATGCTTTACTATATAAGGAACTGTTATACCTCTAAGAATACAGGCTTGTAAAATATTGAAACTGAACTTAAGGTCTGTGGCTATGTTGTGAAAATCTAATAAACTATAGGAAGGGTACAACTTTTTTTTCAAGAAAATAATGTGCATATAGATGTATGAATTGAAGGGAGATAAAGGTGATAACATACTACTCCATAATAAATATATACATATATAATTTTTATCTTTACTTATAAAGATGTATTAGTAATGGCATTAATTTTTCATACATGTTTGCCTCTTTAGTTGTTTAATGAAAATGCACATGAATACTGAAAGACAAAGTGCTATAAAACAGTTTAGAAACCCATGAAAGGATGTCAAGCTTTCTAGCAACATTTGCACTCTCAAGCATCTCTCCACAATTGAGCAAAGTCAAATCAACAACTTTTGCAAAAGAAACACTATTGTGGAATAGTGCGAATGATAAAGCATGAAACCAAGCCCAGTATAGTTCATGTGGATAAGGCGTGACCCAACTCAGGCAGAGGAGGCAAGTCTTGCAAGGAATTAAGCCTGTGCTCTCTGTAGCTGATCAATTTTCAGAGCACCTTACATGAACTATATAACAAGGCCAGTCTCATAAGCACTTCATTTTGTCACTTCCACAACTTTATGGGTGCCACAGAAACCAAGAACTTGGCAATGCCAGTCATTTAAAATGATGAAGACCAAGGCAAGTACAGATACAATAGCCAATGGTGGCATGCAGGAGAGGCTCAAGCTACAGCAATCCTTATCTGAGCTAGAACTAAATGTGGATATGGAAACCATCATTAGCTTGAATGATATATATACATATACATCTAAAAAGGGAGCTTTAGGAATGTATGGTATAATAATCTTCACCTCTAAGAAGCTTATAGAAGTCAACCTGTTGAAGTTAGTGTAAGACTATCTATGTAGCTGAGCAAAAGGTAGGATTCCTGAGATGTGGCTACTGATGCTTTTATCAAATCCTTATCCAAATCTATGAATGAATATTCTTGTTTTACCAGGGGTAACCTTTGAGAGACAACTTCACTAGCCATATTAACATCATGATAACCAGAGCTACCAAAGGCATCAATGCAATGCAAGTTATTGCAGGAAATAGAGCTGAAGAATGTTACCTGTTTATTATCTACCAAAGTATTATTCACCCCATTGTGGATTATGCACCACCTTTGATCAGTATGAGTGCTATACAGTTAGATAAGATTGAAAAGATGCAAAAAAAAAATTTGTTTAAACTGATCATGGGATGTATTTCAGCCACCCCATCAAAGACCTATTGTATCTCACAAGTCTCAGCAGCTTTGCAGAACAACAATGATTGCAAGCAAAATCCTTCAATAGGGCCTTGCAGTGTAGTGACCATCCATTCCATCATTAAGCCACTGCCCTTTTCAATTGCAACATTCCATCACCACAACTTGACAGACCTAACCAAGAAGGGGATTACATAAAAGCCACCTCAAGAGACAGTCAATGGTGGAAAAATGCTATACAGCCACCACTGAGATAATTCATCACCAACAGATCTCAAATTTCTTCATGTGGAATAAACATTTGGTGCTATAATTATTATTGTTATATTATTGTAATTGGGTTGGGTATGGTCTAGTGCTTATTGTGTTTGGACTTTGAATCTGAAGATTCCAGGCTCTTTGTCCATTGCCACAAAAATGATCTCCGAATATTTGGGCTACAAGTGCACTATAAAAATAATAGTCAAAGTCCATTATTCAATCAGGAAAGAGTTGGTAGTGAGTACTGTTGACTAGGTGCCTTCCTTTTATCAGGTCCAAATTTAGGGATGGCGATATGCAAATAGTCTTTTGCATAGCTTTGCATGAAAATTATGAAACAAATAGAATAGTACAATTCATTGTTAATAATCAGTTAATATGTTCTGACCATTAACAGGATTTAAATTTTAATTTTGAGGTAGCTTTTAGATTATGAGGTTTTTATTTATCAGTAGCAACCAGAAAAATATATGCAAAAAGAAATTTAATTTAAACATTAATGAAATTAGTAAGAGTTGTCATTTTAACAAATGAAATAGTATACATCGAGATAGATAGATGTCTATGTATATATTATGATATTTGCTTTCATTTTTATTTATATATTTCAGATATTAAAGAATTAAACTTCATGAAGAATAAGAAAACATCCTCAGTTTGTATCATTGGGAGTGAATGTATACATTGGTTTGATGAATTAAATTTAAATGGAATTATGAAGTTGGGCCAAATGCTATTAAGGAAAGGGGTACTTGTAAACTTTCGTCACCATCAAAAAGACAAACTTTTGTTTAGAGTAGATTCCAAGGAGCTTAGTCTGCAACACACTTTTCATCTTTTGAGGAAACCAATGTTGCGAGAGTATTATTCAGTTCCATTCCACTATAATAAATGTGCAGAAAGTTGGTTTTTTAATGTATATTCTGATAACATGACAAAACTAAAAATAAATAAGGAGTACCATATATTTATCAAAATGGTAGCTGAGGTTTTAGGTAGAAAAGAAGTACACATAAATGAAAAAGACAGTAGTAGTGAAAGTGATGAAGAAGAAGCAACAGTAAAAGAGATAGACAATTGGGAGGAAAAAAGTATTTCAAAAAAAGATGAGAAAATAGTTTTTTATTTGAGAAAAGTTGAACTTCCTAAAGCTAAAGAGCCAGTGGTATCTAAACCTTCCATAAAACAGTTTTTTAAAATTTGATTTAATTTGTACATTCAGAGCAGTGAAGTATGTAAAAATATATGAATTTGGAGGATTTCTGGACATTGTTACATATGTCAGCTGTATATATTATTTTTAGATTTAAGTTTGAAAATATTAAATAACATCAAGTTTGTAAAATGCCTTTTATAGTGTTGGTTTTTCACACACATTTAAGTTTTAAAAAAAATGGCAAATAGTATTGTTATATCTTACATTCTGAAAATATAGAGAATTCTGTATTAATTACTTTCTATTTTTAGAACCTTTCAGTGAGCGTAAGGTATGTTAATTTGTTTTTAAGTTTTAATAATATTAAAATGTTGACCTTCATTTTCAACCACATTCCAATAGAAAATGAGGTATGAAGTTAAAACATTCTAGGCTCACATGTATGTTTCAAAGTACAGTTCTGATATAAAAGTATTATTTCTGTAGGTGATTTAAAAATTACAAGGGTTTTTTTTTTGCAACCATGCTCAAATAAGATAGTATTAAAAAATATTTTTAACAACTGTTGGAGTACGAATGATAGAGGTTTTGTTAAAAAGAGTATTTCATAGAAGTTTTATAAATGTTTATCTTTACATATTCCTATCTAATTTCTTTAATGTTAATTGCCTTTTTTTTTCTTATTATTATTATTCCAGTGTCTGATTTTAAATAAGATGTGTAATTGAAGATTTAAAAATCAAGTCCTGTTTTTAATGGGAATTTGAAAGAATGTTGTTTCAAAATTTATATTTGTTGTAAAATGATCATTTCTTTGTTAAATTTTGACATTTCTTAACATGCTGATGCTTACTTGTGCAGAGGGAGATAATTATTTAGATATATGTTAAACTTTTAAGCTTGTATTCAAAACAACCTGATTAGGCTGTTGTCATGTGGTATGATTCAAAAACTATTTACTATATAATCTGACTAACATTAGAGGTTGGATATAATTTTTCTTATTGTTGATCAATTAACAAGTTTATATAAAGTTACATATTTGTTACAATTATGATTATTCAGTGTTTCAGTTTTTTAATGAAATTATTTTTGTAATTAATTAATGTTTTAATGTTAATATTTTTATAGAATTTTTCTGCTTCAGTTCTACAATACGTTTTATTACCTGATATTGTAGTTCTTTGTAATCATCCTCTTTCTGTGTACTTATTTTAACTATTCAAAATTAGGAGGACAATGTCTGTAGCTTAGTTTTTTTGTAAACTTTTTAAGAATTGAGAGGAAAATTTACTCTGTGCGTTCTTTTTTTGCTCTTCTATATGAAGATATTTGGATATTATCAGATGTAATACCTGTCCTTTGGATGGGTGAAATAAAAGTTTGTAACAAAGGAGGGGAAATTGAGCTTCTATTTTTTTCCTTAACATAATAAACATTAAAAGTGTAATAAAAATATCTAAAGGTACCAATACTGAAAGGAAAGTCACTGTTTTCAAGAATTCTTTCAATATGAAATTAAATGTGGAGTTAACCCCCCATGATCTTCCTCATGTCGTCGTGTATCACTGTGTTAAGTTTAGCACTGATTGACCAAGAAATGTGGAAACGTATAAGGAACAGATACACACATATATTGATGTTTATTTATATTTAGGGGGCAACCCCTACCCTTTCATGACTTTCCTCATGTCATCCTATATCCCTGTGTCAAATTTGATCCTGAATGTGGAAATGTATAAGTAACAGATATGAAATGATAGATATACCACCATGTATTTTTTTTCCCAGACACACACTTAGCTTTAGATAGTAGATGACAGCTTTATTAAATTTTAGTATGGAATATAAAAGTATTTAACAGATATTCTATTAGAAGGTTGAGTTGTTAATTTAAAATCTCTATCATATGCAGGTCTAGTTGATGTTTTGAAGTATTAGTTGTTTTTTTTCTGTATAGAAATTGGAAAAAGACTAATATGATTCAGAACCTTCTGTCACAGCATATTGTCAGCTATTGTTATGACATTATTTTTAATATTAAAAATTTGCAGATATAATAAATAAGTAAATAGGTACTTTTATGCATCTGTGTGTATGTAGGGTAGATCATATCAAATTCCTTGGTAAAGGAATATGATAGGTAAATATGCATTACTGTGTAATTTAAAATAAAGTTTGAATACACAATCACGGAACAACAAATTTATATGTATACAAGTTTTGACACTTTCATGTGGCCTCTTCAGTTCAGTGTTTGTTTGTGAGATAAATGCATACACTGTTTGTTTTCTAACAGAAGTTCCAAGTCTTTTAATAGCATATGATGTCAGAAAGGGATTCAGGTTAAAGTGACATCTAGACGAGTTGAAGTTTTACAACTTTTGGAGTAATGAACTTTCCACAGTTCTTCTTTTGACATAATTTCTGGTTTTATGTATTATTTTAGCAGATTTCAAGTTGATTTTTTATCAAGATTTTTATGTGTAGAAAAATAGCATTATTTGTTTGATCATTTTTAACACCCTTCTCAATAATTTGTATTCAAATTTTTTTCCTATTTCACCTGTATAACCTTTTTTTTTGCTGGATTGGCAGGGGGCTATATAGAAACCACTCTCTTTATCTTGAGGTGTAGACTTGTTCAAGGGTAAGAATTTTTAATTGTGTTGGAGCATATATAAACAACTTCGAAATTATATTTCAGACTTTTCTGTAAAGCCACAATATTAGAATTGTAGATGATGCTAAGTATTTTATTTTCACTTATAGAGGATGCTGTTTGCTGATTATTGTTTTTAAGAAATGTCTTTTGATGGTCATTTGTATGGTACTGTAATTATTCAAAAAATATATGACTATTTTGGATTTCTTCATCATGGGTTGTGTGATGACATATTTTATAAGTGTTTAAAAACAATGAAGTTGTAATTAATGTTTTAATTATTTTATGGTGGCACGAGAAAAAGTGAACATAGCTTAAAGTATTTATTGGTTTTCTATAAAAAGAAAGAACAGGTTCTATTTCTGCTTTAGTTATAAGAATGTATAAAGATGGGAGTGAATTATTGTTTTCCCATTAAACTTTAAACTTATTCATGATGTCAGAAAAATATGTAGGTTCAAGAAGTCTTGACACAAAATGATAAAACCCTGTAACCCAAGTACTTTCTAAAGTGCTCGTGTTATTGGGTTTTTATCATTTTGTATCAAAACTTTAAAACTTAATTGTACTGTGAAAATTGTTAATGTTCTGGAAAAATGTTTGAAAATAATTTCTGTTGTTTGGCCAAACAGAAAACGTCATCAACGTATCAGAACCAGGGGATTTCTTTTGTATTCAGATCCACTGTAGAAAGCAATACACTTGCAAAATACTCCATGTAAATGTTACATAGAATTGAGGAAAGGGGTTGCTCAAATCCTTTCCATATCTTAGTCTGTAATATTTTCCCATGTGCTTGAGTACATTATCATCGGTATACACTTGCACTAGGGAGATAAAAGTACGGACAGCACAGGAAGTGGAATGTTAAGTTCAGGTAATTTTCTTTTTAGGAAGTATTATTTCTTCAGTTGGTACATTTATAAACAAAGAATCAACATAAAAAAACTTTTCTTCATTTATATAAGTTTTATTTTGTTGGTGAAATTATATTATTCAGAATATGTGGATGAGAATTTTTCCAAAGCAGGAGATAGGTGTTGTGCTAGCTATTTCGATGAGTGATAAGCAGCTGATCCTACATAGGAAGTAATAGGTCTAAGAGGGCAGCTATCTTTATGTTTTTGACAACCCATACATACATGGCCAAAAATTAACCCACTTAAATTTTTTAAATAAATCCACATAATCAGATATTTTCTTGGAAAGTTGGTTAACCCTAAGCTTCTCATATTTTCATCCTCCAATAAATCCTTCAGTTTTGTTTCATAATAGATTTAACCATGATGCCAATTTGATTTGTCAGATTTTGTTACTAAAACATTCCTTTTTGGTTTTCTTAAGACTTTTATGAAGTAATGAGGAATTGCTAATTCTGAAACAAATATCTCCATATGCAGATAGCTATTTTACTTTTGAAGCCGTGTATATTTGCTTGAGAGACTTGCATGCCACCAGCTTTGTGAAAATTCCCACCTAGGTTCATGTTCTTGTGAACTTGCACTACTACATGATGATGTATCATGCAGCAAAACCCTTCACCAATAGTAGTGCAACAAACCTTCTTGTGCAAATCCTCCCTCTACATTTGTGCATAAGAATCCTTGTTCTTTTCTTCAGCACAGTCGTATCAAGATGTATTCGTGTTTGCTGACACTTGTCAAAGATCTTTGTTCTAAACTTACTTTAATTGTGTTCAAACATAATCATTATTAATTCACAATTCAGTGTGAAGTCTTCTTCAAATGATGTGGATGAAAATATCACTCACACTGATCAAATTGCCAACAATTCTATAAGTACTTTACCTGTGGAAGACATGACAGCCATTGCGTGGTGGGGTCCATGTTGCTGCTGGGACCCTCTACTTCTGAACCCATCACACAATTGTCTTTCTCTTCGTTTGATAGGAGAATGATTCTAAATGGCTTTTTCCACCTATAGGCTTTGCTTTGGGTACCTTCATGCCTTCAGAAGAACAACTCCATCATAACCTATGGCGATTCATTTTCCCTCATACATAACCTTTTTCCTCACGATTTCCTTGTTTTTCTCCCTCCCCTGATATTTCCATTCATGACAATTCCTTCTCCAATCAACTTTGTTCATGTAACCTACTACCTTATCTTCTCATCTAACTGATTCCTATGTCTTTATGTACAGTCACTTTCCTTTTCTTGATACCCAAGATTTGGAGTCTCTTTTGCCAGTTTGGGTGGTTGATTCTTTGTTGGCTGTCTCCCTACCTAGCACCAAATTTTCCTGTCTTCCTTACTACCATTCTTAGATACCTCTCGTCACTTCATCTTATGATGGAAGTGCTTCACCATTCCCCTGATGAATTTTCTGGAGACACCACAGTGCTCCTCTTCTCTTCCATTTCCTGTTCCACTTCCTCCGCCCTTTCTTTTCTCACTTTGTTTCTTTGTTATTGAGAGCTCTTGGGAAGGGATATCCATCTTTTCCAAGTCTGATTATCTTCCTCCAGGATCTTCGTATTGCCCCCTTTCTCTGTCAAAAATCTTTGGTGGGGGGAGGGTCCCTGATTATCTGGAATCACGGACTGAAGCTGCCTGCCATTAATCTTCTCTTTCCACCTTATTCTTGCATTTGTTCCTATCTTACCATTTCACACATGTCCTTCGCCACACCCCTCCTTCCTGTTCTGTCCCAGTATCCCAATTTTACACTTCCTCCCATCCTTCTTTCTGATATCTCACCCCAACCTAACTGCCGATGACCATTTGGTCAGTTTGGGACCTGTGGGAGACCATCTGCCCAGTTTGCACATATATGGACACATTTTACTGCCAACAGGTGGGTCATTCAAGTCCTTACTCATAGCCTCTACCTTTACTTCTCTATCTTCTTTTCTCTCTCAACCAATTGCCTTTCATCACTCCTCAGATGCAGCATACCTTCAATAGCTGGAAAAGGGTAGCTCAGACCTGATGGAGAAACGAGCCATAGAAAGAGTTCATGATCCCCCTCTGGTTACAACACTCGCCTCTTCATTTTACCCCAAAACACATTGATCTACCCTCCCTCAATTTGTTGTTGTTGTACCTCATTTTCGGATGGAGGATTATTTATTTCTCTGCTGGTTTTTCCAACTTGGCATATGGATGACCAAAGGATATGTGTTGGAAGCCTTTCTCCATGTTCCAATGGCCCTGGCCTCATACGTTTTGTGCCCTTCTATTTAGATTGTTTGTTTGTTTGT